AGGAGACAGAGAGAGAGAGAGAGAGAGTGAGTGTAGAGTTTCATCACAATCCAAGCCCAACACATTAAAATTTTATCATTGTAACTCATGGAAACAGAAGAAATAACCTTATTTGTGGTGCATTTCTGCATTTCCAATTGAGCAGAATTTATGTGAAACATTATCTGAAGTTATCCCTAGTATTGGGCTGTTTTAAGCTGTCAGACATTCCTTGGATTTCTCTAATATCAATATTACTTTACCTGCAAATTAACAACATGTTTACAAAGGAATTTTAGAAAATTTGTCTCCTTTTTATTGAAATTGAATGTAAAGTTATTACCTGTGTCATGACCTTTTGGCTTTGTAGTATTATAACAATAATTTTTCAAAATAAGGTAAAAATAAGGATAATAATAAAAACATGACAATGATAATATTAATGGTAATTAGATTTTCTGTTATGTATTTAATCAAAATTGTGAACACTTGCCTAATAATTCAGACTTATCCTGCACTACTTACTTATCCTGGGCTGGGTGGCATAAAGAAACAGGGTGACTTTTTAATTCTAATTATTTATTATTCTCTGTACTTTGTAAGAAAGCATATGCATCACAAAATTAATATAATTTGATGTGAAATAATTCTGTAATATTGACCCTATATTTTAAAGCATTGATGTTTGAATACTTGTAAATATTTTTCTTTTGTATTTTCCATAGATGGACAGTACATATGAGTTTTTCTATGTTTTCTTTGTTTTTGATTTATTGTTTTCCAGGCGCACATCTCTGAAGTAAGATGATTTGTCAGAAATTCTATGTGGTATTGTTGCACTGGGGTAAGTAGCATTCACCTTTGTGTATTTGGAAGGTTATTTCTGCAGATTAATTTTTAAAGAGGAACTTTTATATTATAACAGTAACTTTGGTGCTTTGTGGTCTCAACCTATGCCTATAAATAGCTGTTCTTATTTAGTCCACTAGCAATGCACGTTACCATTCCTTGACCTTTTTACCCCATCAAACAAGACAAACATACCATTGCATTTTAGTTTTATTTGTGTGTGTGTGTGTGTGCACACGCACGCGCGTGTGGATACATGCATACGTGCTGCCTGCCTGCCTGCCTGTCTGTCTATGTGAGGTTGGACAGTTAGTTGGCTATATTTCCGGTGAGAATTTTAGTTTATGCATTCCAACTACCTTCTTTTTGGGTTTTACTGGTTTTAGACAAATTTTAGAATTTTCTAAAATGTAATAGACTTTTAGCTTGTGTTAAGGCTCCATGGAGAAACAGAACTGATGGTGCCTGTGTAAAGATGTTTATGTTTTTGTTTTTTTTTTTAACATAGGGAAACCTAGTTTGTTTATTTTTTGGTACCTAGACTTTTTCAAATCCATTTGTAATTGCAAAGTATTTGGTTTTTGTTACTATGTATTTATCACATAGGAAATGTTTATCACATTTGGAATCTGTAAAATATGGAGAGTTAAAATCAACTGATAAGTGTGGTATTTCATTATCATTTTGATGCTTTGAGTACTTAACATCTGCTCCCCTAACACTTTCTAAGGATGTCTATATTGTCATTATCTATAATTGGCACACGGTGTGTTAGATCTTTGACCTTTCTCCTGTTTAGCTGTATCATTTGACTAATCTACAACTTCCTCTGCTATACCGTAGTTCACATTCTGCTCTCTACCTGTATATGGTCAATTAATTTAGAATTCACATGGCCATGAGATCATGTGGCATTTGCCTTTCTGTGCCTGGCTTTACTTAACATATCCCCCCCCCCCATGTGTTGACAATGGAGGCTTCCTTCTTTTTATGACTGGATAATATCTGCTGCTATACAGTGGACGTAAGTTGATTGTCCCCCAATGAGCCATTGTGATGGGAGATTTGGTCTTTGGGTGATGGTGTCAGGAAGTACTGTGGACCCTTTAAATCCGGGGTCCTAGAGGGTTGTCTTTACACACTCTGGAGGCTTGTGACTCCTGGAGTTCTCATTAAAGCTCTGTCCTATCAAACAAGCCTGGGTTTATCTAGCTCTGTGCTCATGACTGGAGGTATATTCACTTGTTTGACCCATAGTATTTTTCTGCCATGGATATTCACACCATTAGGTTGCCTTCCTTGAGCATTTACTATGTTGTTTAGATTTCCAGTCTCCAAAACTAAGGCCATTTTGTTGTAAAGTTAGGCTGTGTCCAATATTTCATTATAGAAATGAAAAGCTGGACAGTGCAGCGTGCACATAAGCAGTCCTTTACCCATTCATTTAACACTTAGGTTGATTCTATATCTTGAACAGTGCTGTGATCAACATGAGTGGTTTTATTTTGTTTGGTAGACATCTCATAGTACCATTGCTGGACTATGTTTTTCAGTTTCTGAGGCACCTCTGTACCATTTTCCCTAATGGTTGTACGGATGTACACTCCCATCAACAGTGTGGGAGGATTCTTCTTTCTTCTGACCTCGGCTAATGCTTGTTAGGCTCATCTTTTTGAGAATTGTTTTGTAGCAGGAGTGGGGTGATGTATCACTGTGATTTTGACGTATCTGCTGATTAGTAGAGGTGAACATTTTCTCACACATCCATTGTCACGTGTTTGTATACTTTCTTCTGTTTCAGTGTACAGGTGTCTTGCCTGCATGCATGTCTGCACATCACATGCATACCTGGTGCCTATGAAGGCCAAAATAGGATTCTTTTTATGTATATATTTATATTTATATAAAAAGAGCAATAATGGCAATATGTTATGTATCAATAGCAGCAACAGCTTTTCCAGGTTCTGTAGTCCTTTGAACAAAATTGTAGAGACATCCAGCACACTCCATTTTTTAAAAATACAAAAAAAACAAACAAGCAACAACAACAAAAAAAAGTAAAAAACAAAATCCCAGAAGACAGCACAGTTCTGTTACTCTTGTGGAACTTGGCACCATTTTTTTTTTAATTAGTTTCTCAGTCATCATCTGGGCAAAACAGAGTTCTTATTCTGTGAAGCTAGAGTTACAGAACTTTGTGAACTACCACATGTGTCCCAGGAATTGAACCTGGGTCTTCCTCAAGAGTAGCAAGTGCTTTTAACTGCTGAACCACCTCTCTGGCTCCTTGTGTATCTTCTTTTGGCAGATGTTTGTTTGTGCCTTCCAACCATCTTCAAGTAGGGTTATTTTGAGAATATTTTTAGTTCTTTGAGAATTTTATACATGTATACAATGTGTCTTCATCATAGTCAACCCCCCCCCATACTCCCAATAAATACATCTCTCTCCCAATGTCACATCCTCCTTTTCTTTTTAACCCACTGAGTTCAATTTGTGCCACATGGGTGTGGGGTCCCTTGTTTACTTTGGATATTAACTCCATATTAGACACACAGTTTGTAGACTTTTTTAGTCCATTCTGTAGTCTGACATTTGAACAGCCACTCTGTTGAGTATTTCCTTTGCAGTGATGAATCTAGAATTTGACATCATGTTGGTCTACTTTTTTTGTGACAATTGCCTGTGACTTAGGAGCATGTCTCAGAATGTCACAGAGTTCATTGTCAGTGATTGCCAGATTTACTTCAGTCTTGTCATAGTTGCAGGTCTGCTACTTAGGCCACTGGTCCATGTTAAATTACTTTTGTATTTGATGAAAAATTGGGGTATAGTTTCTTTTGTTTTTTCTTATGAATACCCTTTTTTTCCAGTGCCATTTACTAAAGAGACCATTCCTTTTCCAGGGAATTTTTGGCAGGCAGTTTTTGTTGAAGCTTTGTTGGTTCTAGATATACAGTTTTATTTCTGTGTTTTCAATCATGTTCCGCCGATTCAGGCATCTTTTGCTTGTCAGCATTGTGCTATTTTACTTATGTGACTTGGTCTTATGTTTGGAATCAGCTTTGCTCTTTTTTTTTTTTTTTTTTTTTTTTTTTGGAACAGCATTTCTGTTTATGTCCCTGGCTGTCTTAGAACTTACTCTGTAGACCAAGCTGGCCTCAAATGCAGAGATCTGCCTGCTTCTGCCTCCGAGTGCTAGGATTAAAAGCATGTGTTACACCGCCAGAGAAGCTAAGAAACAAGGAGGACCCTAAGAGAGACATACATGGTTCCCTGGAGAAGAGGAAAGGGACAAGATCTCCTGAGCAAATTGGGAGCATGGGGGGAGAAGGGAGGGAGCTAGGAGAATGAGAAGTGGAGAAGAGGAGGGGTGAGGAAGACATGAGGGAGCAGGAAGGTTGAGTCAGGAGAAGAAGAGAGGAGAGCAAGATAAGAGATACCATAATAGAGCCAGCCATTATAGGTTTAAAGAGAAATCAGGCACTAGGGAAATGTCCAGAGATCTACAAGGATGACACCAACTAACAATCTAAGCAACAGAGGAGAGGCTACCTTAAATGCCCTCCACTGATAATGAGATTGATGACTACCTAATATGCCAGCTTAGAGCCTTCATCCAGCAGCTGGTGGAAGTAGAAGCAGACACCCACAGCTAAACACTGAACTGAACTGGAATCCAGTTTGCAGAGAGGGAGGAGTGATGAGCAAAGGGGTCCATACCAGGCTGGTGAAACCCACAGAAACAGCTGAGCTGAACAAGGAGGAGCTCATGGTCCTCAGACTGATAGCTGGGAAATCAGCATAGGACTGATCCAGACCCCATGAATGTGGGTGTCAGTGAGGAGGCCTTGGAAATCTATGGGGCCTCTTGTAGTAGATCAGCATTTAATCCTAGCATAGGAATGGACTTTGGGAGCCCATTCCACATAGAGGGATACTCCCTCAGCCTAGACACATGGGGAAGGGCCTAGGCCCTGCTCCAAATGATATGACAGACTCTGAAGATCCCCCCCTTGGAAGGCCTCACCCTCCCTAGGGAGCAGAAAGGGTATGGGATAGGTAGGGTGTTAGTGGGGGGCAGGGGAGGAGGGAAGGGAGAGGGAACTAGGATTGACATGTAAAACAATTTGTTTCTAATTTAAAGGAAAAAAATGGAGAAAAAAAATAAAGGCATGTGCTCCCATGCCTGGCTGGAGGCAGCTTTGTTCTTGGTTATGATTTCTTTGGCTTTTGGTTGTGTTTTTGTGGTTTCATATGAACTTCTGTAGTGTTCAATTTATGTTAAGAATGTTATTGGCATTTGATGTGGATTACATTGAATTTGCGCACTGATTTGGGTAGTAGAATTTTTTTTAATTTATGGAAACAGAATATTTTTTCATTTGTCTTTAATTTCTTTCATCCATATTCTACAGTTAGTGTAGAAATGTTTCACTTCTTTGACACATTTTTTGGGGAGGAAAGGAATATAGCTTTTATATATTTTTTTTATTAATTCAAGTTAGGGAACAGGCTTGTTTCACATGTAAGTCCCTTCTCCCTCCCCTCACCCGCATCCCTTCTCCCCCACCTCCAACCTACCGCCCACCCCATCTACCCAACACTCCCCAGGCAGGGTAAGGCCCTTAACAGGGGCTCTGCAAGGTCCACCAAATCTTCCTGTGCTGGGCCTGGGCCCTTCCCCATGTGTCCAGAGCCAGAGTGTATCCCTTCACATGGGATGGGCTCTCAAAGTCCCTTCTTACACCAGGGAAAAGTGCTAGTCCACTTCCAGAGGCTCCCTGGAGTACAGAGGCCTCCTTATTGACATCCATGTTCAGGGGGCTGGATCAGTCTTGTACTGGCCTCCCAGATAACGTCTGGGGTTGATATGCTTTCCCTTGTTCAGGCCAGCTGTTTCTGTGGGTTTCTCCAACCTGGTACAGACCCCTTCGATCTTCATTCCTCCCTCTCTTCAACTAGGTTCCAGATTTCAGCTCAGTGTATTTTCTGTGGATGCCTTGACACATTTTTTTTAAAAACGTAGTTATTATGAATGGAACGCTTCCCTCTTTTTTATTCCTTTCCCCTTCTTTTGGCTGTCACAGTGTTGCCCAGGCTGGTCTTGAAACTGATGGTGCTGGTGATCTTCCTGTGTCAGCCTCCTAAGTAGCTAGAACTGCAAATGTTCTATAAGTGTATTTTTTTTTAAAAAATTATTTTCCCTGTGTTTTGATGTTTATTGACGTCTAAAATCTGTAGTTCACATCAGGGTTCACTTTTGTCCATCCTGTAGCCTTGAACAAATGAATAATGATGTTTCTCCACTACTATAGAATCAGAGCACTGTCCCTGCCTGCTTGTTCCCCAGATCCTGCTTACTCACCCCTCTGCTCAGCTTAAATCCTGGCAACCAGCATCCTTGGTGGAATCATGAAGATTATGTCATTGTGATGGCTTCTTAGGGACGCACATGTAAATTTCCTGTGTCTTTTCATGGCTTGATTTTATATTTCTCCCGTGAACTGAATATTATGCCTCTGTCTGAATTATGCACTTTATTTATCCACTTAGACACCAAAGAACATTTTGTTTGCTTCTGTTTCTTTACACTTTATTACATTTAATTCTTCAACAACTCTCATTCCATTCACAATTCTCAGAACTCTCACACTGCGTTAGTGAATATACACAGTGAGAAAGTCATCAGACTATTCAGATTCATTCATAGAATGAAGAATGGTAAAGAGTTAATTGTTTATTTTCAAAATTTTCTTACTTAAAGATCGGCTTAGAATTTGAGGCTTTGGGGGTTCATTTCTGCAAATGCTCTTAGTTTCATGTTTAAAAGGTAATGATTTACATGCAGTGTGAATTTCCTGGAGGGAGTCTCTGGTTTTGCATCATTTCCTGGGATGTGTGGGGGACATTTCCTATGGACATCATATGTCTGGAGGCTCTTGGGAAGGTTCAAGAGACCTTGCAACTATCTTTAAGTCAGACAAACTTTCTCCAAGAACCTTCAGTGAAAAGTGTTACTATACCCTGAGACTCTTCCAATGACTATTAAGAGAGCTTTAGTGCTTACTGATGTAATTAAACATCCAGATAGTTCTTATTTATTCTGAAAGTTGGAATAATTTTGTTGTAAAAAGGAAGAGAATTCATGTAAATTTTCTCATACTAAAATGTAAACTTGTTAGATTAACGAGAAAAATTGACTCGAAAATTTCCAAAGGAGAAGTGCCGGAGAATGGCACTAGTTGAGTAACTGTATCAAGTTGTCAGGTCTAATACACTGGAAGGTGGGAGCTCAGAATTGTTCGTTAGGTACTGACTCAGCACTCTGCAGGTTAAGCATTTCTGAGTACTGCACCATTTAGTCTCAAGCACTTTCTAGTTACATCTTTGTCAAAATGATCAATTGTTCCCTGTGTCTTTTTCCTGTCCTAACAGAATTTCTTTATGTGATAGCTGCACTTAACCTGGCATATCCAATTTCTCCCTGGAGATTTAAACTGTTTTGTGCACCACCAAATACAACGGATAACTCCCCTTTTTCACCTGCTGGAATCCCAAAGAATGCTTCTGCTTTGAGTGGGGGCTATGAAGCAGTTTTTGAAGCTAACTTGAATGCAAGCAGTGTCTACATTTCTGAGTTATCCAAAACCATTTTCCACTGTTGCTTTGGGAATGATCGAGGTAAAAACTGCTCTGTGCTAGCTGGAAACACTGAAGGGAAGTCACTGGCTTCAATGGCAAAGGCCTTAATTTTTCACCAGCTAGGTAAGTACTTTCGTGTCCCAGTATATACTGTTGTGTTCTGTCTGTATTCATCAAAATGTTTTAATTCTCTAAAACTTGTATGAATTAGATATACTATTATGTAATTAACATATATTGTAAATTTTACATGCTATTAAAATAATGATTCATCGTGTGAGTACTAAACATGCTCTGATCATTTTATAGCTTATAAAACTGTCATTAAGGAAACGCTTTTACTTTTGAATACACTCTTTAGAGTCTAAATTTTCTTGGGAGCAGAAAAAAAAATGCACACTTTGAAGAGCTAAAATACCAAATTACTAGCATTACTGTTGAAGCAGTGAAATTTCAAAATGTTTAGAAATAATGATGAATTGTGCAGGCAAAGAATCTCCCAGAAACAATATGTTATGCTGAGTGAATTTAACTGTTGTCTTAAGAATAACGCACACCGAAAGTGGCAAGCTTCGTTAATTTTGTGTATAGAAATTAAAACAACAAAAGTATTTCTAGGTCTTCTGAAGGGGCAGAGCAGGCTCAGTTGACTCAATCGTATGAAGAGAGCGCAAATAGGGGAGAATGGGCATACCTAAGTAAGGACTCATGTGTGCTGTTAGCTGGGATTCCCTAGTTGATATTAATGGCCCTCCCATCCACATAATTCTTCAGGCTGACCTCTGACCTCTGTTCTGCAGAATGCTTAATGGTAGTCCTGGTCTTTATGCAGCAATGAAGGAAATATCTTTATCTGTGACTACAATAAATATCTTCAGCTTGTAGTAGTAGCACATGAGAGACCCAGACAGGAGGACTGTGAGTTCCAGACCAGCCTGGGCTACAAGTTAGACCCTGTCTCAGCAACCAAACTGGACAAAAGGAACCTTCAGATGTTGCCAGATGTCCCATCTACCCGTTTTAGCACTTTTGATTATGTGGAAGAGCACCTGCTGCCTTTGCACAGGACCTGGGTTCAGTGATTCAGTAGTGAAGAGCACCTGCTGCTCCTGCAAAGGACCTGTTTCAGTTCTTAGCATTCATGACAGGAGACTCAAAACCACCTCCAACTCCAGTTCCAGGTGTTCTGATGTTCTCTTCTGGCCTTTGTGAATGAACCTGCAGGCCTTAGGTGAACTTAAACTCCTGCAGGCACACACACACACACACACACACACACACACACACATATACAGAAATAAAACAAAATAAATCATTGCAAAAAAGAACAATGATGTTAATTATGTTATAAAACTAGATTTTAAAAACAAGTTAGTAGGAATAATTTCAATTAAGTTCATAAATGTTAATGTCATTTTGAATGGAGCTTTTTTAATTAGTAAGGGAATAGCTTAGCCTATCCATTGATTATTAAATATGCTAAGAATGAACAGAGTTGTCAGGGTCCATCTACTCCACACTGATGTCTTTGGGGCTAAGATCAGAACCAGCCAAAGAGCCTCGGGTCTGACCCTGAATAGGGGAGTGTGGATGAGGGAAGGCCTAGCTATCCTATGATGTTAAAGATGAGACAGAGACATCAGGTCATAACAGGAAGGTTCTCAGTCAATACTGGAGACCATAGTTTATTGTTCCATCATCTTAAGTAACCATCCAAAGGTGGGGGCAATGGCAGAAGACATCTATTATCATGTATAAAGGGCTGGTATCAAATATTTCCCTTGATCCTAGAGACACTCCTAAGCAGCACTACTCACTAGCCCTCAGGGTGGGTATAGACTCGCCCTGGCCCAGGTCTTTTGTTATATAGAAATAGGAGCTATTCCCCACTGAGGCCAGGTAATCAGCCACTTGCTAAAAGACAATATAAGTTCTGAGCTCCTAGAATTCGTGGCTGGCTAGAGCACATTTCTGGAAATACCGTGTGGACACCAACACAGAGTCTTTTTTTTTTTTTTTTTTTTTTTTTCGAGACAGGGTTTCTCTGTGTAGCTTTGGAGCCTATCCTAGCACTCACTCTGGAGACCAGGCTGGTCTTGAACTCACAGAGATCCACCTGCCTCTGCCTCCCGAGTGCTGGGATTAAAGGCATGCGCCACCAATGCCTGGCCCAACACAGAGTCTTAATAATGAGTCTTGGATGATAAAAATATCATTTCATTTTTACTTTTGAGGGTTAAATGAATACCATACTATGTATTTTAGTTTTATATTATAAATGGGTAGTAACTACTTAACTTTTAAGTGAATTAAAGTTTTTGTGACTAAAATGAGGAGGGAAAGTAGTGTCTACCAAAGGTTTCAATTTGTTATTTTTTCATATAGGTTTCACCTATATACAAGGTGCCCAATAACTAGAAATACTTCTCATTTGGAGAAATTCATTAATGTTATCTTAAGTTGATTTTGCCTTGATATGTATATATATATATATATATATATATATATATATATGTGTGTGTGTGTGTGTGTGTGTGTGTGTGTGTGTGTGTGTTAAAGAGTTACTTTCATTTTTATTTAACATATATGTGTGTGTCTGTGTGAATTATGGCACATGTGTTTGGTTGCCTACAGAGGCCAGAGATAGCCTCTGGTCCCAGGGAACTGGCATTACAAATGGTCACAGGCCTTGATGTACTGACTTCTCCTGAAAGGTAAACGGTAAGATAAATAAAAATGAGTCTTGCCTTGTTTAGGTAGCTTGAGATTAAAAACAAGTTGAGAAATAGCAATTGAATTTAAGTCTCTGATTTCAAACAGGCGGGGTGGTGGGGTTAGGGTGGCGGGAGGGGAGTTACTAAACTGAGGGTAGAAGGCACTGAATGGTTCATACAAACACACTCCTAATAGGGCCTGTTTTTCCCCTCTGAGAATGGGCAGCAGAAGTAGTAAATTCATTTTAGCTCTTCTCTTTGACTGGGTTGTTCAGAGCATTTTTCAGGTTTAATGCAGTTTATTTTTAATGCAGGTGTAAACTGGGACATAGAGTGCTGGATGAAAGGGGACTTGACATCATTCATCTGTCATATGGAACCATTACTTAAGAGCCCCTTCAAGAATTATGACTCTAAGGTCCATCTTTTTTATGATCTGTGAGTACCGACTCAATTAATTTGGCTAGTCATGTGACCTCTTTTGTTTAAAGTACAGAAGTGGATTTTGAACGCCTTCCATGCCTGCTCTTCCTTTGCAGCTGTGTACACTATAGAGAGTGGTTTGTATGTTTTATAGCCATCTTCTCCATCAGGTTTCCCCTTTCTCTTCCTGTTTATTTAGTCATGGAGACACTGCAGGTATGGATGGATATGCAGTCTAAAAATGTGTGAACAGTGTCAGATTACTGCTCTGTGAGAACTGGTTAATGTGTTTATTATTATAGGAGTTACCCTAATGCTCTTTCTGACATATCCCTATCCATTTGCTAATGGAGAGAGGTTTTTCACTGTGTACAAACTTCATTGAAAACATTGCCAACATGAGTGGCTTTAAAAAACCTGATTTTGTCTTTAGGAAGAAACAACAGAAAGAAGTTAAATGGATGGGCTGCAGTTGGAGGCTTGTTAGAGAGCAGGTGGTGGAGAGACACCTGCTCTTAAAAGACAGCAGAAGTTCCAGAGTTAAGAACCCAAAGTCTAATAGCAAGTACTGGAGATAAAAGGAAGAATGAATGTTTGTGAGGCCTCTAGTCCATGCCGTATTTACTTATTGGCTTTACCAAAAATGTGTACTTTGTCAAGTGGAATTTAGGCTGTGTTTACCCGAATGGCCATGTGAGCTATTAGGTACATTCAGGCCCCGTGTAGTCTCAATCAGTAGCTAAAATGATTGGTATGGCCATTTCTTTGCATGTGCCATTCTATTTGTGTGAAATAACAATTGTTTTTTAATGATTGAATAAAAAGTCCTAGGCTTGAGAAATTCATAGTTATAATTTAGGTAGAGTTTAGTTGATTTTCCTGAGTCACTCTGGTTAAAAAGGACCACTGATTTGACAATTAACTCTAATCCAAGTAAGAACACTTAGTCTACTGACTTACAAGCTTTTTGTTAGCTCTTCTTTACTGCCTAATAGCAGAAAACCTTTACACTGACTGTCTTATATATTGAAAACCCTTGGCAATTCATCTGTGAACTATCATAGGCAATGGGCCTTCATTTCTTTTAGTTCAACATGCACAAATCATGAAGTACAATCCATCATATACATATGTTTAAGGAGATATATCACAACCAGGCGGTGGTGGTGCACTCCCAGCACTTGGGAGGCAGAGGCAGGTGGATCTCTGTGAGTTTGAGGCCAGTCTTGTCTACAGAGTGAGTTCCAGGACACCTAGGGCTATTACACAGAGAAATCCTGTCTCAAAAAACAAAAACAAACAAAAAAGATATATCATGTGATCATCTCAATTGATGCAGAAAAGGCCTTTGACAAAGTTCAACATTCCTTTATAGATGAAAGCCTTGAAGAAATCAGGAATAGAAAGAAGTACTGCAACATAAAGTCCATATATGACAGACCTATAGCCTCGTGCGTGTGTGTGTGTGTGTGTGTGTGTGTGTGTGTGTATTATTTATGTGTGTGTTTGTATGTCTTGAGCCTAGAAAGGGAATCACAAGAGAGGAGAAAATGTAATAATGAAATACACATACTTGGGAAGCAAAAGTGGAGAACTAACCCAGGTAGAGAGAGAACCAGCTGTAGGGGTGAGGGGGCATATAGGAACAGTGGAGAAGAAAATGACTGAGAACCAAGTGTGAGGACACATATGTCAAGTGTTTTAATTGTGGCAGACAAAGTCATCTCAAAAGAGATTATAAACAGGGCATTTCTAGAAATAATTCTTTTTATAAACATAATCCAAATAGAATGCCCCTCCCTTCTTGGTTATGCAAAAGTGTGGCAAAGTCAGGCATTGGACAAATGAATGTAGGTTGAAAAGAGATTATCAAGGTAATCCTTTGCCTTCAGGACATGCCTTGAGGAGCCACTTGAAAACCCCTATACCAAAACTGGTTCATTCATTCTCCATCCACATTGAAGATAGGAAGACATTCAGTCTCAGGATTCTCCAGGAATGCTGAGGAGAGGCAGCAGGATCAGCCTATTTGGCCTGAGGTAGTGGTAAGAGCAAGTGGCCCCGCTACTTTGCTTTTCTGATCTTCAGCTTGAAGTTTGAACCACAATATCAGTTTCCGGGTCATTTATTTATCCTGAAACACACATATGTCTGAAGAACCTGCATTGAAACCTAGTACTTAGTATTATTACTTAAACAACTAATTAAAAAGAAAGCCTCAAAAAGGTACGAAAAATGAACAACTGTGAGGAAGTGTCAAATAGAGTTCCTATCTTCATTTCTGTGACAGATCATCAGTTCACTGAGACCTTAAACCCTGTACACATTGTAAATGGAGAAAGCTGCTGAGTTGTAGTTGTCCTTCAACAGAAGTGCACCAGATGACACTCATTTGCCTTCTGTGTTCTGTATCTATAAATAACCGCATGAGACTCACTATGGCACAGGTGTTGCTTATTCCTGCATGGCTAAGTTGACCATATTCCTTTATCTTTAGTCCATATATAAGATAGCTGAAGTTTTAGAAATACTATGTCTTTATCTCCATCTTTGCCTTTTAATAACTAATAATTGCCAAGAAAGAATACCCAAAGGACGAATTTGAGAGAGTCCTTGCACCTAGGATAAACTGGACACATGGAAAAACCATAGTTGGAGTCTAGTTAATTTTCCATATTGGGTAGGTTAGAGGGGAAACCAGATAACCAAATTGTGATCTAGCAGATTTCAAAAATACTGGGTGTGCTGGTTCTATTTTTGTCAACTTGACCCAAATCTAGACATACTTGGGAAGAGGCACTCTCAGTTGAGGAACTGCCTCTATCAGTTGGCCTGTATACATGTCTATGGAGCATTTTCTTGATTGCTGATTGATGTAGAGGGCCCAGCCCTCCATAGACAGTGCCTTCCTGGGCAAGTGGGCCAGGGTTGTATAGAAATCAAGGCAATGAGAAACCTTCAAGCTCCTGCTTTGGGTTCCCAAGGTGGCTTTCTGCCATGATGGACAGTAACCTATAAGCCAAATAAAGCCTTTCTCCCTCAAGCTGTTTTTGGTCAGTGTTTTTATCATAGCAACAGAAAAGCAGACTAGAATCATGGAGAGAGTGATTATGGCTGTTGGTGGAAAGTAATTCCAAAGGACAGATGGATAAATCCATGGCTTATATCTAGTTGTTAGGGCATTGAACCTCAACCTTGCTTGCTCAGTCTCCATTGGCATTTTCTGTCTGTGGGCATAATCTGCCAGGATTTCCAGACTTTCTGTTTGTGTCATATTCCATGTATGCCATTTCCAGGATCATTCTGGTGGGGGAGAGGGATTGTAAAATATTCTATTCAGAATCAAAACTTTATGAGTTATCTTCTTCCATGCCTAAAAAATTAATTTTGTTGTTGGGTCATGAAATGGAGGTTGCATTTATGGATGGGAAGCTCTTTGCTTCTTTCATCAGTAGGGGATGTCTACTTCTGAGATGCTTATGCCCAGAAAGGTAATTTCTTCTGAAATGCTGTGGGGTTGGAAGCCAGAGAGAATATATGTTATTATGCAGATACTGATTCCAGGCTGTTGATTTTGGTTGAGTGTCATTCCAGGATCTTTTGCTTCCTGAGCAAACTCCATTCTGAAGACCACTCTTAACATCTCTGAATGCTTTGGTAAAGCTGTCATACACAGTGCTTTATGAAGCATGACTTCATGGCCAAGCTTACTTATTTAAAAATGCTGGGACTTGCTTTAAAATAGCAATTGAATGTATCATTTTATTTTAAGGAAATCACCATTTTGTCCCATCAAAATTCACAAGAGAAATCGTTCAAAGACTTCCATGTGTGAAAAAGGTGTGTTTTTCCAGGAGGTAAAATTTGATGTTTATAAAGGGTTTAAAAACCTATAAATATGTCCTCAAAGGGACAGCACTGTTTGAGCTCAGATATTAATGTTTGTCTGAGAACGTGAAGGAGAGATACTCCAAGAAGTGTGATATGCTGGGACTGTTTTAGGCATTTATTTTGTACCAGGGAGGAAGTTCTTCCTTTCCTTTGTAAGGTCACTTCTGTGAGCCCCACATTCTGACTTTTGTGTAGGGAAGAGTGTTCACAGCAGGCTTCCCCTTTGTTGTGTGACAAGCATTTTCCTGGGGATGACAACACAGGATTATTCACTCCAGATAGGGAGCCCAGACCAAAGTAAGGATGCCCTTAAACTCCACCTTGGTGAACCAATGAGTTTTATTGGGGTTACTTAGAGGAATATTGGTGAGGAGTTCCTTACAGGAAAAGAAATGATTGAAAAACAACTGCACCACCAAAGCCTTCCCCATAAGTGGGTGACAGCTCACCAAAGCCAGGAACCTGGAAAACACTGTACACCTGCAGGCACCTCAGCTGGTTGAGTTTCCAAGTGACTCAGTTGATCTTAACCTCTTCCAGTCAGTGTGACTTAAGTTGACCTAAACCTCTTCCAGTCAGTTTGGCTGATTTCTGGTTCTTACTGTTTACTTAGGAGGAAGGGAGGGATCTAGTGATTCTGGTCAGTTTCAAGGACTTCCTGAAGCTATTTGAGTTGTTTACCTTCTCTTTTAAGGAACTTCCCTGTAGGATGTTTCAGTCTGGTAGGAAACCCCAACACAATACCCTTCATTGTGGAGCTGATAGGGTGTTGTAAAAACATTAAAATACCTTAGCCAAGTTTTAAAGTGTGGCCATGTAATAAAAAGAGGGACAGAACACAGGTACTAAGGATTGTCCAGCACAAATTAAAAGTATTCAGGGGAGAGCATTTGCAAGTGCCTGAGGCACAGACAGCCGAGCTGGAAGACTAAAGGCTGAGAGTGGTTGAGCTAGGAAGCCAGTGAACGAGGGAGCAGTGGCCAGGTCAGGTTAGGAATTGCTGTGCCAGGTCATGTTGGGGAGTGACTTTGGACCTTCCTGGCTACTAAAAACTGATTCACTCCTTTCACTCACCAGTTTTCTGTCAGCATGGGGTGATTTCAAAACACACATACACAAACTTC